TGCTGCGTTTGTGCTGGCCAGATGTGCCAAAGTCTTGGAGTGAGTCCAGTGTGGCTTCACCACAGACCTTAGCTCAAGGGGCCCAAACCTCCTTCTGAGTCAGCTACACTGACCCCAGGGCCAGTGGGGGGGGGGTGATGAGGGACAGGGTTTTAAGGTACAATTCCTTTGTTTCTCCAAGTCCCTCCACGGCCTGGGGGATGGAGATTTTCTCCTCACCTCCTCCTCCTCCCCTGGCCTTGGCCTCCACCAACAAACCAGAGACCTGCTCAGCAGACGTCCGCAGTGATGTGGGCACTGGCCTCACATAGAGGAGAACGCCACCCTTGACTCAGGCCCTTGTGACTCCGTGGGGCACTGGAGGCCTGACCCCTGCTTCACTCTAGAGAGCCACGGTAGAGCTCTGTCCATCACTGGACTTCAGTCTTCTCTGGGCTTGAATCCCAGTTGAAACTGTGACTTTGGGCAAGACGTCAGCCATCATTTCTGAGCCTCAGTTTCCTCATCTGTACACCAGAGAAAGTACTAGAACCTACCAGGTAAGAGGGGGTGTAAAGATGAAATGGGAATAGTACATGTGAAATACCCTGTACCTGGTAAGTGTTCACTATATTCCATCCACATAGATGAGGCCTGTGGGACTCGCCCAAGACCAAGCAAGCGAGGTACTCTCTCTCTCTTTCTCTCTCTTTTTTTTTTTGGCGATGCTGTGGCTTGAACTCAGGGCCTATACCTTGAACTACTTCACCAGCCCTTTTTTATTATGGGTTTTTTTTCGAGATGAGTCTCCAGAACTATTTGCCCGGGGCTGGCATTGAACTGCAATTCTCCTGATCTCTGCTTCCTGAGTAGCTAGGATTACAGGCATGAGCCACCAGCACCTGGCTCACTCTTCACTCTTATAGAGGCCCAGCGAGGTGAGGGTAGGGCCTCACAGTCCCCGGGAGTCACTTCCCTTCTGTGGTCCTTGTTTCTGCCCTCTCTCATCCTGAGCTCTGTTTATCACTACCAGGCATGGCATCACTGTAACGAACTTTCTCTGGATCTGGTCTGTCTCCATGGGCCCTGTTCTTCTATCCCCTCTCCCACCTGCAGGCCTGCCTCATCTGTACCCTCCTACCTGGCCTCTTCTTTTCTCTCTGCTACTTCCTGCCTGCATAGGTTTCCCTCATTTTGCCCCAAAGAAGGAAAGTAAATGTTGTCCCACCCAGGTACTGTCCAGACCCTGTCCTCATGGCCACACATTTCAAGGTGAAGGTCATACCCATGATTCATGGAACACAGTCTGTGCCAGGCCAGAGGACAATGTCCTCTGACGCACAGGAACCCTACCAAGCAGCTCATCTGGCAGAAGTGGATAGTCACTTTCAGAGAAGCCATGTGCCTGTCTCAAGGCCATCAGCTGAGCCATAGCCAAATGTGGTTGATTGGGGCCTGTGATGTGGCAGAGGGAGTCCCTCGATGTGTCTTTCCACTTCCCTCTGGAACTAACCTTCTAATGCTTCGTTGCAGAGTAGGAAGTCCAGCAGGCTGTGGATGGAGACTCCTGACATAAGCAAGTGTGTCCTGGGCACACTTCCTTAAGGCACCTGATATACCAGGACAAAAGGGCACCAAGACCCACAGCTACAGCAAATATGGACGCCATCCCAGACCCCGTGGACACCTCACTAGTACTGAATGTATCATGGCTCTGCACTTGGGACCTGTCCTCTCCAACTGGCTGCTGGCTGTCTCCTGCCTTCTGTAAATGTTTCCCCTTTGCTCTCTTTCCTGAAAACATCTTCTCTCACCAAGCCTCAGCCCATGGAGGTCACTTCATCCTTCTCCTTGAAGGCTTAGATCCTTCTTAGACAGGCCCCTGCTCATGGCTGTCCTGCTGCCTCCCCAGATTGTGCCTTCCTGTGGGCAGGGTGCTCAGATCCCTTGGACCCCGCTCTGCACCCTCATGCAGAAATGCCAGACGCTGCAGGTGTCACAATAAATAACTACATGTGTTCCCACACCCTTTGGTTGGTAAACACATGGCCTGATCATCCAAGGTGATTTCTGAATCTTACATGAGGAACACACAGAGCACATATTCAGTGGACAGACTGATGCAGTTTCTACAAGTTCAGGAGCGTGGAATTTCCCCTGATTACGGGGAAGCACCTAAGATGATTTTGGTGAAAACACAACAGAAGGCTCATATAGGAATAATAAGAGTTCCAGGAATAGAGGAGAGAGAAAATGGAGTGCAAAAATTATGAAATAAATTATAGAAGAAGATTTCGGGGAATTTGAGGCCGTGTGTTTCTAGATTGAAAGGGCTTATCAAGGATCCAGCCCAAGAACTGATGTAACAAGGCACACTGTGAATCTCAGAGCAGCCAAAATACAGAGAGGGTCCTCCTAAGAGCTACCTGAGTGGAGTAAAAAGGGAAAATGTGAGAATTCGGGAATCAGCGCCTACACCTTGAGCCATTTCACCTGCCTTTTTTATGTGAAGGGTTTTTCAAGATAGGGTCTCTTGAACTATTTGTCTGGTCTGTCTTTGAACCATGATCCTCCTGATCTCTGCCTCCTGAGAGGCTAGGATTACAGGCCTGAGCCACCGGTGCCTGGCTTCAAAAATTATTTTAACAAATTAGAAATTATTTCCAACCTTGAATTCTATTTGGACCTTGATCCTTCTACCTCCGCCTCCCCAGTAGCTGGAAACCACGAGCTGCAGTTGGTAGCAGTCTCCATCATAAACCGTTTTGCCCTCTTTCTATCAAATGGGACTTTCTTTGTTCCCAGAATGTCCCCTTAATGGGTTAAAGTCTACAGAACATAAATTAGAAGTAGGATGACTCAAATGATTGACTTAACTGTTTGAATTGCAAACAGTAAACATGAAATGAAAGATTGTGGTCTTTTAGCAATATAGTTATTTATTCTTTTTTTTTTTTTTTTTTGTGGTACTACAGTTTGAACTCAGGGCCTACACCTTAAGCCACTCCACCAGCCCTTTTTTGTGATGGTTTTTTGAGATAGGGTTTTGCAAATTATTTGTCTGGTCTGGTTTCCAATCGCAATCCTCCTGACTCTGCCTAGGATTACAGGTGTGAGCCACTGGCGCCTGGCTAGTTGTTTATTATTGAAGCAGTCATAATTCTTAGTTGTTACAATAGAATTCACTGTATCTCAGATGTAGCAGGGAAGGAATTTATGAGGAGGGACTATGTAGTTCACAACGTCTCCAGGAGGGCGACTAGTCAGTCAGGCTTATATACCAGGGGGTCAGGAATATCACTCAAATCACATCCCAGGGGTGCCTTGGTGGCCTACCCACTGCCCCCACAGGGTTTAGGTCACAGCAGCTGGCCTGGGTCGGAGGTCTCTGCCAGCCCATGTGTGCATCCTACCTCTTTTTCTCTTTTTTCTTTCCTTCCTTTTTTTTTTTTTTGTGGTACTAGGGATTGAATTCAGGGCTTCCAGCAGGCTAGATAAGATAGGGTCTCTGAGCTAACTTTGCTTAGGTTGGTCTTGAACCTGAGATCCTCCTGCCTCTGCCTCTGGAGTAGCTGGGATTACAAGTATGCATCATCACACTGGGCCTGCAGCCCAGTTTTAAAGGTTTCTCAATAAATCAGTTTCTGCCTTCTGTCCTGAGAGGGACAGAGATGAGGATCTCTATAAAATCCATGGGAGTTCAAGCCCAGAGTCTCCAGATGTTTTGATAAAAGCCAGGGCCATGTTAATTGGCCCCATAAATGGAGAGTTGGGTGGCTGCCACCAGGATCTGTGGAACTACTGTTCAGGTGTGGCAGGGCTGTCATCCTTGATAAGACCCAATGGAATTTGGCCCTCCCCTGCCAGATGGCAGTGACTTGCAGAGCTTCCAAGGGTCATTGTCTTCCTGTACTGTTTCCCCACCCTCTTTACACTGTTGACCTGGCTTGCACTCTGCCAGTAGTGATAATCCATTCTTCCTGAAGCCAGGGGTCTCCTTCTCCTTCCTGCAGTACCTACAGAAGGGCAAAGCCGCACCAAAGCTTATTTCGGTTTAAGTCCTACTTATTTGTCGGGGTTAACTCCTATCCCCTTGCTTTTCTAGCATTCTGCTAGAAAAGGATGCAAATTTTTGTTCACGTTTTTTGAAAAACTTATATTCAATAAAATGAAAAACAAAAACAAAAACAAACCACAAGTGAGTTTTGGCATGTAAACACATAGCAGAAGAAAGAACATTCCTAGGATTCCAGAAAGTTGGATCATTGTCCCACGAGAGAACCACTCCTAACGTAAATTCATTTTTGTCAATCCTTGACTCTTACCCAAATGTACCCCAGAAGTATGTACTTGTCCGTGTCTGGCTTCTTTTTCTCTCAACATTAAACTCTTAGAAAACTTTACTCTTCTCATTTGTCCTTTTCCTTGGAGTTTTATAAGAACAAATATGGTCATTTAAAAAACAATAACAGCAACACCTGCCAATTTTACCATTTTCAGAGAATATATGGGGATTTTTATTTGTTTGGCAATTTATGACCACACACATATAAATAGTAGGGCTGTAGAAAGATGTATGGTACCCCAAAGCTGGCCAGGTGGCTCTGACCTCCCCTTGGGGTCCCCCAACCCCCCATCCCAGGCTGTCCATAATATTGAAGGATGTCTGTGGACTCTACCATAGGGACCAACAGAAATCCCAGCACAAAGACATGGACAAGTATGTCGGTGGCCTGGCAGGACCTGCACAGAGGACAGAGACCAAGATGCTCCCTGTCTTGGGGCATCTCTCTGGCCATAGAAATTCTAGACTGAGACTTCGTACCGTACCCGGTGTTGGGGAGGGGTTGTGCGGGCCCCGCTGGCAGGAGGAGGAGGAGGAGGGAGGTCGTTGCTTCATTAGCTCCTCCCTTAGCCTTGAGCTAGTGGTTATAAGTGTGGCCCTGGGGCCCCGGGTCAGTGTAACCCCAGCAGGCTCTGCCGCAGCAAAGAGAAGGTAGAGTGGCTGCAGTCAGGACAGCATGCTAACCAAAGGACTTGCTCTGCGCTCAGTCCTGGTCAAGAGTTGCCAGCCTTTCTTGAGTGCTACCCTTCAGAGTCCAGGGCATCCCAGGGCACCCACTAGAGGAGGAGCTGGCGTCTCTACTCATAGCCCACGCCCCTTCAAAGAGATCCCTTCCCCTGGTGACAATGGATGGATAAACCTGTACCATTTCTTGAGGGGAGAAGGCGCACACAGAATCCACTATCACCATGTTCAGAATTTCCAGAAGTATGGTCCCATTTACAGGTAAGCCTGGGTGGGGTGGGGAGGTACAGGGGCCCAGGCAGCCCTCTCCAAGTGGCTTGGGTTTGGGTTCTGGACTTCTGCCTACTTTCTGATTTTATTTCTTCCATGACAGGAGATGGTGGTGGGAAAGGCAAGGCCTCCCATTTCCTGTCGGAGTCTCAAACCTTCCCCTTTCTACTTCATGGTGGGAGGGGGCCGTAAGAGAACAAGCTGCCTGAATGCTCCCTCTACCCTTGATCTTCTGGATGTCCTGTAAGGGGAGTTTGCTATCTTCATAGTTAGGTGCGGTGACTGAGGCTCAGGCCACCTGGCTGCTAATTAAATCCCCATCTTGCTGGAGGTGCTGAGGTCATCCCAGGAGCAGCTGCTTCTGTTCCCTTCCTTCCCCAAGCATCTGCTTGACTTTTTTTTTTTTCTTTTATTATTCATATGTGCATACAAGGCTTGGGTCATTTCTCCCCCCTGCCCCCACCCCCTCCCTTACCACCCACTCCGCCCCCTCCCTCTCCCCCCCACCCCCTCAATACCCAGCAGAAACTATTTTGCTCTTATCTCTAATTTTGTTGTAGAGAGAGTATAAGCAATAATAGGAAGGACCAAGGGTTTTTGCTGGTTGAGGTAAGGATAGCTATACAGGGAGTTGACTCACATTGATTTCCTGTGCGTGTGTGTTCTGCTTGACTTTTGCTAGGAGAACGAGCCTTGAACAATTTGGCCTCTGAGACCTCAGGGTCTATGATTTGACTCTGGTGTAGTAGTGTCTAAGGTTAATAGTCTTCGAGCTATTTCTGTCTTCAAGCAGTTTCAAGGCACAGGAGGTGTGTTAGGGACTGGGAGAAGGGACCAGGAGGGACTGTGCATTTTACTTTAAGTGACAGGGTCTTTAACAACTCAAAGAATTCTCATAGGAAGGTCATGATAGGAAAGGGTACAGATGTGATGTGTTGGCTGGCTTGAGGTGTGGGGCGGCTGTGGGAGTCAGGCTTGATTGTGTTGGGGTCTCACTGCTTCCTCTGTCCCTCTCCTACAACCCTTTTGAAGTCCTAATCCCGGTTTTCAATACTTGTTGGAGGCAGGAAACACCCACCTCCAGGGCTGGGCTTGGGAGAGGATGACTCCTTCCTGTGTCTCCCCTTCTTCCTCTCTGTCCTAGGTCCCTCTGTGCCTCTGTTCCAACTTCACTCCCTGTACACCCCATTCACCTTCCCTGCTTTTTTTCCTCTCTCTCCTTCCCTAGCCCTAGGAAAGCCTTATTTTATTAATCCTTTTCTGTTTGCCCAGTCACTTTAGTTTGAGTTTTGGATGTCCTTGAAGTTGGTGTTACAATCCCCATTCATGATGGCAAAACTGAGGCCCGGGGAGGAGGAGAAGGCTCTTACTAAAGACACACAGCTCATCAGACAAAGCCAGGACTAGAATCTGAGTTGTGTGGCTTCCAGTTCTGAGTGTCAGGATTATATTACAATTTACAGCAGACAAGAACAAATGAAAAATTCAAATCAAATCCAGTCTTAACTTGGGTAATATCTGAGTACTGCTAAGAATGTAAGTCTGTTATATTTGCTATGTGGTTTTGTCCCACAAGGCATGGAAGACTTCTTTCCTTTTCTAAGATAATTTTAAATGGCAGCACTGAAGTCTTCTGCACAGATAAGCTATGTTTTTAGGCCAGTTCTTTAAGGCAAACATGGAGCCTGCTGGGGGATTTTTGCCCTAATAATGTTTTGATGAACATCTGTCTTCCAGAAAAACTGCTGATATCAACATCATTGCCTTGGGCGACATTCCCAGAACTGGAATTGATAATATTAATAGCAGTTCAAAGTCTTTGGAGCTGGACCAGGGATATGGAGCTAGTTAGTATAAGGTCACTTGAGCTGGAAAAACACTGAGGGGGTTTTTTGGGAGGCCATGAGCAAGCCAAGGCCAAGACTACGGAAGTTAGGTCCATGCCTGTGGGGTGGGGGGAGGGATAAAAGGAAGTAGAGAGATGGGGATAGATAGAGAAGATAGAGGAAAGGAGAGCGGGAGGGAGGGATGAAGAGGGGGAAGAGGGAGAGAGAGAGAAGGAGAGAGCATACTTGGCTTGTATCTGTGTATCTTACTATATTTTGCCTTAAACTAGATCTTCAATTAAGTTTTCTTAGGCAAAAGATGCAAGGAAGAAGTGAACCTTTCTGATTTTTGGAGGAGTTGTGTGTATGTGTATGTATACATATATACGTGTGTATACATAAGTGTGTGTGTAATGTATATATAGGTTTACACAACAGAAATTTATTGGCTTCTAGTTCTTGAGCTAGAAGTCTGAGATCAAGGTGTCTACAGGGTTGGCTTCTCCCGGGGCCTCTCTCCTTGGCTTTTAGACTGCTGTCTTTTCCCCTTGGCTTTACATCCCTCTATGTCTGTCCTAATCTCTTAAAAGAACACTATCATGCATAACAGTTACATTTTAATAGAAAAATGTCTGCATTTATACTTGGGTCCTGATGTTTAAGTGGTGTTTTATTCTAAGAGAGGCAAAGGGCTCTTGAGGCTTGGTGACCACTCTTAGAAATTTAATCCCAGGGGGACTGGTTGGCCTGGATAATGGCCTGCCTAAAAAGCTGCAGGAAGTCATTCCAGGGCACTCACTGCAGGTGACATGGAAGTGTGCTTGAGCCCTGTGTATGTGTGTGGGGGGAGTGGTGAGAGGCTGAGATTTCTGAGGGTGTGGACACAGGAAGAATGGGTGTGAGACAGTCTTGATGGCCCGTGGAAGGCTCTAGAGTGTGTGAGGGGGCTCATCCTAGAAGGTATGCTGTGTGACACAGCAACAGCGACCATGAAGCTGTCACTCAGAGTGCTTTACAATGGTCACATGTATACCACATATTTTGTCCTTCAGCACCTCCACGAGACAGGAACTATGTCCCTTTCCATTTTACAGACCAGGGAAACAGACTCAGTGAGGTGAAAGGCTTTGCCTCAAGCCCTATAGCCATAAAGCTCTGGCACCAGCAGTAGCAGTCAAGGGTCTCCCTGGCTGCTTCAGATCCTGACATCAGCTTTTTTCCTGCCCCTCCAGGGAGAAGCTCGGCAGTGTAGAGTCCGTTTATATCATGGATCCTGAAGACGCGGCCTTGCTCTTTAAGGCTGAAGGTCCCATCCCAGAGCGGTATCTCATCCCACCCTGGGTCGCCTATCACCAGTATTACCAGAAACCCGTGGGAGTCCTGCTGAAGTGAGTTCGAGGTCACACCCGGGACTGGAGGGATGTGATGGAGAGCTGTGCTGCTGACCTCCAGGGGGAGTGTCAGGCTGAAGAGCTTCATGAATAATTAAAGACCTTGCAAAGTCTTTATTTATTGCTTTAATCATGAAGTTCTACCTTACAGAGCACCCACGATGTGCCAGGCTTTGTGTCAGGTGCTGGGGGTGCAGTGACAAATAGAGAAGGGCCCTGTCAGGGTGAGTCGCACACAAGCTGAAGGGACGGTGAGAAGTAGGGAAGTCTGTATCGATCAGTGTAGTGGATACTGTTTTCTATCAAACTGCTGATCAAAAATGTAAGATGTGTCCATATCAAGTGTTGGCAAGGCCACGGAGCGACTGGAGCTCTCACCCATTGCTGGCGGGAGTATAGACCAGTGCCTCTGTTCGGAAGGTCGGTGGTACATTATCTCCTGAAATCGACTGTTCACGTACCCACGATGCCCCAGCTCTGATTTTGGGAATCTCCCCCAAAGAGTCTCTCAGAGGGCATGAGAAATGTTTGCCCTGGAGCTGTCATACTAGCAAAACCCAGGAAGCCACCAACTTGCCCAACAGGGGAGTGAACAAATGAATGGTGACTCACAACAATAGAGAACTGTTTAGAAACGGAAAAAGCAAACCCCCCAAAGCATGACTGCTGTTTTAAGAAGTTCCTTTCAGGAACTTAGATAGATTGTATAAAACCATACACACACAAAAAAGAGGGAGGGATTCAGGTTGGGGGAGTCACTGTGTGAGGGAGGAAGGGTGTGGAAGAACCAGGTAGTCCTTATGAGTTTATAATAACATTTCTTTTTCTTTCTTTTTTTTTTTTTTTGCAGTACTGGGGTTTGAACTCAGGGCCTACACCTTGAGCCACTCCACCAGCTTTTTTTGGCGATGGGTTTATTTGAGATAGGGTCTCACAAACTATTTTGCCCAGGCTGGCTTTGAACCTTGATCCTCCTGATTTCTGCTTCCTGAGAAGCTAGGATTACAGGTGTGAGCCACTGGTGTTTGGCTATAATAACATTCTTATATCAAACAAACATCAAAAAAAAAATCCTCCAAATTACAAAAAAGGCTTTGCATGGATCATTTTAGAAGTGTGCCTTGAACCAATTCTAAGTTCACCTGAGTTCCACCCCCACTGCAGTGAATACCAGGGCACTTTTGGGGTACCAAGGAGAGGGTGGTGAATTTCATCTGTGCAGGAGTGAGAAAAGGTGGTGTAGAGGGCCCTCGATGGTGAAGGTGAGCATGGGCCAGGAGGCACGAAAGGGAAGTGGCGCAAAAGGCAGGCCTACATATGGCAGGGACTTGGACGGCTTAGAGTGGCTTGAAGGGTGATGGGTCCAGGAGTTTTTTGGTCTGGTGGCAGCAGCAGCAGTCGTGGGGATGGAGAACAGTCAGAGTTTGGTTCTCCTTCACCCACTTTCTTCCTTTCTCCTCTCCTAGGCCAGGAAGAGCAGGGAGGAGGTGGGAGGCAGAGGATGTTGAGAGGAAGCAGTAATGCCTCAGCTCTCAGCCCCTGAGAGCCAGACCTCGGGTTTCGTCCATGGGGTCTTGGGGGGTCTGTGTTTCCGTAGGACATCGGAAGACTGGAAGAAAGACCGAGTGACCCTGAACCAGGAGGTGATGTCTCCAGAGGCCACCAAGAACTTCGTGCCGCTGTTGGAGGCAGTGTCTCGGGACTTTGTCAGAGTCCTGCACAGACGCATCAAGCAGCAGAAGTCTGGAAATTTCTCAGGGGACATCAGTGATGACTTGTTCCGCTTTGCTTTTGAGTGTAAGGGTCTTGCACCAAGCGGGCAGGGGTCTGGGGGTGGAGAACCAGCATTCACTCTCTCACCAAGACCCAACACAGATCCTGAAGATGTGTTGATTGGCTTCTAGGAGAAGCTGCTGGATACGCCCTCCCATCAGCCACCCAGAGGGCAGTGTAGCCCCCTCACCTGATGTTCTTGCTGGGGGTGGGGTCTCTAAATCATAGGTCCTCCCTTTTTTTTTTCTTTTTTTGTATTGTTTATTTATTTAGTTATTTTTATTCATATGTGCACACAATGTTTGGGTCATATCTCCCCCCTTCCCCCACCCCCTCCCTTATCCCCCCCGCCCCCTCCCTTTCCCCCCACCCCCTTGCTACCCAGCAGAAACTATTTTGCCCTTATCTCTAATTTTGTTGAAGAGAGAGTATAAGCAGTAATAGGAAGGAACAAGGGTTTTTGCTGGTTGAGATAAGGATAGCTATACAGGGAGTTGACTCGCATTGATTTCCTGTGCATAGGTCCTCCTTGACACCATCCTCCAGAAGCCAGAGCATGGCTTAGTCTTTTGTTCTGTAAGAGTCTCTCTCCTGAGAAATCTGGTAGGAGAAAGGAAGGCTGGGTGGTTTATCTGAGCCGGGCATTGAAGGATATGTAGGAGTTATCTATACAGAGTAAGGAAAGTTGTTGTGACTGCTTAGGTTCAGTCAGACTGGGTCTTAGATGGCCAAATTACCCAGGGATTTATGGCCTCAGTCTCCCATTTGAGCCATCTCAGGGAGTATTTAGCCAATCCAAACAATCATGATAAGAAATCCTTCTTAGAGGACAGAAGTTTCATCCCAGCCCAGTTCTCTCCTGGCTCTGTGGAAGGCCCAACTTCCCACCAAGGGATCCTTTTCAGGGTCTTCCACACCTCCCCTCTGAGGATCTGGTAGCCAGAGGGCAGCCTTCTTCCATCTTGCTTTCTTAGACCTTGGGGCCCAGGCCTTAGTTTCTTTGCTGGAGGAAGTGGGGCTGGGGGTGGGGGTAGGGTGGGGCAGAGGAGGTCCTGGGAGCAGAGGCTCTCAGATGGCTGGGTTGGAAGGAGTTCTCAGCCTCAGCCTCCCTTCCAGCCATCACTAACATCATATTTGGAGAGCGTCTGGGGATGCTGGAGGAGATCGTGGACCCCGAGTCTCAGCGGTTCATTGATGCCATCTACCAGATGTTCCACAGCAGTGTCCCCATGCTCAGCCTGCCCCCAGGCCTCTTCCGATTCTTTAGGACCAAGACCTGGAGGGACCATACGGCAGCATGGGACTTGATTTTTAGCAAAGGTGAGGACTCCTCTGGTTGTTCTCTGGACAGGGGAGCTCCCCCACAGTGGGAAGAGAGAGAGAGTCAACTGGAAATACCAGGCCTTGGGCTGCCTCTTTGTCCCAAGCTTTGTCAATGGCCACTGACTTGCCACGGAGGAAACCCACCCTCTGGTGGGCAGGGATGGGTGTCAAGAAGGCCCTGGAGGCCTTGGGATGGAAGCTGGCTATTGGGGTGATTGGATTTTTCTGGAGAAAGAAGAGTGAAGACATCCTGAAAGGAATTCACGGTGCACGTGGTTGAGTGCCAGCATCTGAGAACAGCTGTTCTGGGTGTCAGGAGGATTGGGTGGAGAGGGTTAGGTGGAGTAGGGTGATTGAGGTGTGATAGAATCATATGCCACAACTGTCCCTTTTACCCAGGTCACTGGACATGTAAATACTTCTGCACTTCCATTTCTTTGTCTGAAAAGTGGGTGTGATGTCACATACTTCGTAGAATTGTCGTCAAAAATTAAGCCAGACACCAGTGGCTCATGCCTTAATCCTAGCTACTTGGGAGGCTGCAATTGGGACCCCAGGAAAGTGGGGTCGGGGGTGGGTGGGGAAATTAGTGAGTCCCCATCTCAACCAGTAGCTGGGCACAGTGGTGCAGTGGTGCACACCTGTCATCCTAGTGATGATAGGAATCTTAAAATAGGATTGAGGATTGAGGTCCAGGCCAGCCTGGGCAAAAAGCAAGAGCCTATCGCCAAAATAACCAGAGCAAAAGTCTGAAGAGGTGGCTTAAGTAGGAGAGTGCCTGCCTTGTAAATCTGAAGCCCTCAGTTCAAGTCTCAGTACTGCCAAGGTGGGGAAAACAAGAAAGAAATGACATATTGGAAGACTTGGTACAGAGTGGACACTCAGTAAAATGGCAGCCTACAAAGCACGGGGTTCCAGAATCCACAGCCTTCCCCAAAAATGACCATCCCCTTCCTCTGACCTACAGGGGACCTCACACTGTTCTTTCTTCTCTCCATAGCTGACAAATACATCCAGAACTTCTACTGGGACTTGAGACATAAAAGAGACTTCAACAAGTATCCCGGCATCCTCTACAGACTCCTAGGAAGTAACAAGATGCCCTTTGAAAACATCCAGGCCAACATAACCGAGATGCTGGCAGGAGGTGTGGACACGGTGAGTGGCAGTAGGGCAAGTCTTCAGCCTCCCTGTGCCCATGTGCCCTCCCCTGCCAGCAGCATTGTCTGAAGTCTTGCTATTCAAGTGGTCCTCCCCACTGTGGGATGTGCCTTCCTCTCCTGGCTCCATTCTTTAAACACTAATCTCCTAGGAGGGTTACTCACAAGGCAAGACTCAAGACTGATCAGCCATTTTTTGGGGGGCCCAGTAGAAGGGAGTGACTGGACATAGGAAGTGTGTGGAGCCTTTAAAAGCAACACCCTTTGGGGGGCCTGCTTTGTGGAAGCTCAGCTGCTGAGGGCCATGTCTCCCTGGCCCGAGTCCCTCACTCTGAGAGGAGGACCCAGCTCACTTAGACCCAGGCAAATAGGCATGTCCTCAGAAAACTTGGCGGGGCAGGGGGCAGTGGAAGAAGTCTTGGGTTTGTCTTCCAGGTCCTTTCTGTTGTTCCCCTTCTTCCCTTCTAGGCCATGGTGCCCTAATGCCCGGAGGCATCTACTGTGCCCGCACAGTACCCTGGAAACTTCTTTTCTTGAACACTGAAACCAGTGCACCTTCCCTTCTTCTAAATTCTTACACTTCGGCACTCTAGGGGGGGCAGTGTTTATGGGTAATTAGTTAGGACACAAGCCCTAAGATGGTAAAGGTGAACCTCATGAACCTCCAATATTCTTACATTGCTCAGAGACGAGGAATGTATTGGTCTGCCCAGGCTGACGTAACAAAACAGAACAGACAGTCTAGCTCCAATAATAAAAATGAATTTCCCATAGTTCTAGAGGCTGAAAGTTCAAGATCAAGTGTTGGCAGGATTGGCTCAATCTGAGGCCCTATCTTTGACTTGGAGACGGCCATCGTCTCCCTATGTCTGCATGTGGGCTTCCCTGTGTATGTGCTGTGTTTTAACCCTCTCTGTATTGCAAGGATGTCAGTTGTTTTTGGCTCAGGACCCATATTAGTGATCTCCTTTTCCCCTTATCTCCAAATGTAGTCACATTCTGAGGTACTGGGGGTTGGGAAATTAGACATGTGAACTTGGTGGGGGACACAGTTCAGCTCATAGTGAGGCAGTGAAGTGGGCAAAAGTCTACCACACATCATAGGGATGGACGACAGACTCACGGCCAGCTACTGACAGAGCTCAAAGGAGAGGAAAGACTAACATGAAATTGCAGTTGCTCGAGGGGCAGTTTGGTTCCTGCCATGAGATGAGTGCTCCCACTTAGTGGGGCAGCCTCAGTTCTAGTCATGGGCAATTGCTCCTGATTGAGGGGTAGCCCCATCATGGGGTGATCTGCCTGCAAATCTCACCATTCCTGAAATCTTGAAAATATCTTATTCTGACTTTGGTATATTATACCTTGAAGAGGGATGAGAGAGGTTAGGTAAATTTAGGGCTAATCAATATTAAATCACTAGTTTTTCTACAGATATTCCTTAAATGATTAACATGTGTACAGAGTTGGGCATGAATCTACCCCAAAGTTAAAGGCAGTAAAAGGAGACAGCTGCAAGGTGAAGGTAGAGATGTCAGGCTTTTATCCTGTTGTTAGTGACCCATCAGGCATCTGCAGGCCTAAGTGAAGAGTCAGTGCTTTTAGCAAAAGCAGCCTCAAAGTCCCTGTTACACTAGTAACTGTGTTTCTATTATCCTCCTTTTTTAGGGGATGAAACTGGGCATAGCGAGGTTAACTTGGCCAATGTCACACAGTTACCTTATTAACAGGTATCTCCCAAGGACCTGTTGTGTGGCATACCTTGGAGGTTCTGACACACACACACACACACACACACACACACACACACACACTCATGATTGGAGATTATTTCTGGGCTTTGGGAGTTGTGTACAGCTGTGTTTTGCTAGAGCTCTGGGGTGCTAGAGGAGCACAGGTAGGTGTTGAGAGGATGCTGGAGGTCAGGCCAGGGCCTCTGTACTTCATCCAGAGGCTTTGGGAGCTAGGCAAGGATTGAGAGCTGAAAAGGGACTGGATGACATTGTTTAAATTGCTGCCCCTCTGGGAGGAAGAAGTAAGGTATCCCAGCCTCTTGGGTGAAAATATGATCCTTGTGTGCCAGCAATCCATGCCCTAGCCCCAGGAGGGAGGGAGTTCCAGTCTGGGATCCCCAAATAGGCTTAGGCTTGGTCCGTCATTATGGAGGAATGTGGGCCTGTGGGGATTGAGGAAGGTCACTGATCAGTGGAGGACCACTGGCCACAAACTGGTTTATATTCAGTTTATATAGCTGCTTATTCTCAGTATATCCCCACATTAATTGCATCCTGGGTAGAAAACAGATCTGTGGGCTGGTTTTGGTACCTTTGAGCCTTGTTTTATGCTCTGCTTCTGTGTTTGGGTTAAAGATAACGTTTGGGGAGTTCTGCAGGGGAGCAGGTGGTGTTCGATGAGACAGCAAAAGGAACAGCAGTCTTTTCAGTGCACACTCCTTGTCAAGATAGGATTTGCCTTCTGAAGGCCTCTGGCGTCCTTTGGAAGAAGTCATGGGCTATGTAGATGACATTTCACTGGCTGCGGGGGATGGCTAGGTGCTGGCAACACAGATGAGGGCAGGGGCAAGCGCTGCTCTAACCATGCCTGTCTGGGCCACAAGAAAGCCTTCTTGGATATTTGCCTTTCAAATTATACTTTGCCTTTGCACATGGTGGCCTTGGAGATGGGACGAGGGTGTGGGGAGAGAGGTTTTGGAAATGGACCTCAAAGTGCTCCAGAGTGACAGGCCCTCTACGTTTTCTTCATCCCCACCCTCCCTGCCAGACGTCCATGACACTGCAGTGGCACCTGTATGAGATGGCACGCAACCTGAAGGTGCAAGAGACGCTGCGGGCAGAAGTTCTGGCTGCCCGGCGCCAGGCCCAGGGAGACGTGACCAAGATGCTGCAGCTTACCCCCCTTCTCAAAGCCAGCATCAAGGAGACACTGAGGCAAGCCCTCATCCACCCATGCCTCTCCTGCCCCCTTCCCCCAGGCAGGGCTGGGGCAGGGTTCCTAGGGTGGGCTACAGGAGATTAGAAGCAGGAAGTGAGAAGTCTGAAAGAGGCAGCTGGGAATGATGAGGATAGAAACCGAGTCCTGCCTCAGTTTCTCCACTTGGGGCTGAGATGCCAGGCTGGTGTGGGAGTGGGGATGGAGGGTATGGCCTGTGTCCAGGCTTTGGGGTCATCAGTTTCTGAGTGCCCTATTCCCACAGACTCCACCCCATCTCCGTGACCGTGCAGAGATACCTTGTGAATGACTCAGTGATTCGGAATTACATGATTCCCGCTAAGGTAGGTGCAGCCAGGAACCTTAGGCACTGCCAGTCAGACAGGGGAGGCTGGGGCCAGGCTGCGGCCACAGACAGGTGGCAATGGGGGCTTCTGTTCTGCCTTTCCTTCCTGGCACTGGGGTGCTGGTGGGGCTCTCAGCCAGAGCAGTTCAAGTATGAATGAAGAACGGAGATGGTAGGCAATGATGGCTGAAACAGCCTGGGTCAGGGGGGTGGATCTCACAGAATGCCTGGGTCTGGGAGCAGGGGAATCCCTAGATTATCCCAACCTTGACTCTGTAGCCTTCAGAGAGGCTCAGAGAGGGGCGGGGCCTTGTTCATGGTCACACAGTGGTCAGAATGTCCTGCCCTGGGAAACTGAGCAGCTATGTTGGGGAGCGGGGATGAGGGTAGGACAGTAAGGGCCTGGGAAAGCTGGGTGTTGTGCAGGACTGTGGGTGGGGCTCACTCAGATCTCTGACCACCTTGCCTCTAGACATTGGTGCAGGTGGCTAGCTATGCCATGGGCCGAGAACCTAGCTTCTTCTCCAACCCGAACAATTTCGACCCAAGTCGTTGGCTGGAAAAAGATAAGAATGCCACCTACTTCCGGTACCTGGGCTTTGGTTGGGGTGTGCGGCAGTGTCTGGGCCGGCGGATTGCAGAGATGGAGATGACCATCTTCCTTATTAATGTGAGTTGAGTGTGAAGACATCTGGGCACCGTGAGCTGGTGATGAAGTTATCAACCCTCCTCCTCCCACCTCTGTCCAGAGCCCCCAGAGTGCAGAACCAGGGTACATCTGTCTCATAATTCCCAGCTGCCTTCACTTCTGGGCTAATCCACTTACCACCCACTGGTGTCCCCTGGGAATCTGTTTCCCCCTAGTGGTGAAGAGATGGGGTGGGGAAGAGGCACTATAGACTAGTGAAGGTCAAGGCCTAAATCTAGAGAACAGAGCACCCATGATACATTTCAGACATAGTGGGGGAGTTGCATAAGGAGTTGGTAGTACACCCCGAGCTCCTCAAATACTCTCAGCAGGCCCTGCCTACAGGTGAATGAGTGTGGCATAGGGGAGACAGGCCTCTCCTCCCTTCCCTAAACCCACCATTCCCTTTCTCAGGTGCTGGAGAACTTCAGAATTGAAGTGCAACAGATTAGTGATGTAGGTACCAAGTTCAGCCTCATCCTGGTGCCTGATGAGCCCATCTTCTTCACCTTCCTGCCTTTCAAACAGGACCCAGACCAGGCATGATCAGAGGGTGGGACCACCTGACCCCCCCCACCAGGTCAGCAGTCATGTGGGGGGTTGGCCTGGTGGGGGCCCTCAGGGTTCCTGCATCTCCAGTTCTCTGCCCCACCCCTTCTCCTTTTGGGATGATGGATTTGGCTCTCAGTGGTCACCTGCTCCAGCTCAGCTGAACCCTCCCCTCCACCACCTCTTCACCTGCCCCAGGAAGACAATAAATGGCTGAACCACAGAGAGTGTTTTCATTTCATGGACTCCTAAGTTTTCATCACTTCTGTGGACATGCTCCCTGCCCCCAAGAGTCAATAGTGGAATCAGGGGTATGCAGGTGGACCTGAGACAGCCACACTTGCAGCCATCCTTATTGTGACCCCCTTACATAAATAGAAGTTCAGGAACCAGAAAAATAGGCAAGGAAGAATCAGGATGGGTGACTTCAGAGGTGTGGACCAGTCCTGTTCTCCTTGGTGGGCCTGCTTGGCAGTGCTCCAGTAGGAGCCCCTGTGGGGTCATGAGGCCTTCTTTGCTAAGACCCAGTCAGTCTTGGGCATGGTCAGGGCTGAGGCCTGTGGGTAAGGTACCATGTTGATGAGAGGCTGGTGTGGTGATGGGCTGACCCTGGAAATGAGAGGCTGCATGCTTCCACCACCCTGCCTGATCCTTCTGTGGGTTTGCCCCAGGTCTCACCTTCTTATTCCAGACCGTATGTCCCCTTGTCCAAGCTCTGGATAGGAGTCAGGAAGACTGCAGCAGAGTGCCCATGCAGGGTTTGGACAATTTGATTCTGATCGCAGTACAGCAGCCCACTTAACTCTCACCCTGCCCTCTGAGCACCCCAGTTTCCACAATTCCTGTCTTGAGCAAGTGCCAGATCCCTGGCCCTTGGGTACCCCAGTAAGTCTTGCAAGTAGGCATGGAAGCTGGCCTAGCTTGGGACAGTGGCCCAGCTGGCTTGGCTTCTTCTACCAGGACCTACAGGTTCTGAACCACTCTTGCAGCCTTTTTGCTTTTCCCTACTCCACACCCTCTCATCTCTATCATCTCCTCCTCTCTCTCATCTCTATCTCTCCTTCCTGCTTCCTTTCTCTTCTCTGGGTCTGAGTCATTGTTGACTGGAAGTGTCAGTGCTAGAAAGCATCTCCCCGCCAAAAGCATCCAGCCCTGCATGGAATAGTGAAAGAAACAGACGTTAAGAGAGGTTTTGGGTCATCTAAGGTCACCCAACATGTTCACAGCCAGAATTTCGGCTGCTGACTCTCAGTGGGGACTCTGAGTGCTGGCCCCACCTGCCTTTCTGTCCCTGGCTACTTTTGGACGCATCTTCAGCTCGGCCTCTGCCTGATTAATGGAATATTTCACACTGATAGTGAATGATTACCACAAGAAGGCTTGGGAAGGGAAAGTCCTTCCCAAGAGTCAGTTGAATCATGGTGACATGATTTCAGACATGATACGTGTTTGGGCAGGTGGGCAGTCCTGGCTTCCCTCCTACCACTGCTCAGAGCTTGCTCTCCAGGGACATCTTCTGGATGTCTGGAAGAGGCCCGTGCCTTGATCCCTCTTCTTGCCAACCTTCTGGGTCCAAATGGCCTTTGACTTTCCAAAAAAAAAAGCAAGCTCCTAGATGTCAGGCTGCTGCATACGGTTGCAGAGCAGAGCGAGGGAAGTCTGGGAGGAGGCAGCTGGTCCCCAGGCTTCCCTGTTCCGGGAAAGAGACAAAAGCTTGTTGAGCTACAGTGTTTAATAAAGTCATCTTTAGGAATGGGGAGGATGTCCCAGCACAGTGGGGAGGAGGCCTGCTCAGGGCTCAGGTCTGCTGGGAGTTAGATCCTTCTGGGGGTCCAAGGGCCCATTGAGCCCGTTGGGCTGCAAGGGTCCTGGCTTTGAGGGTTGGTTGAGGTTCGTAGAGTAGGTCGAGGTGTACTGTGGTGTACAAAATGAGGCAAGGGTGAGTACATCCACATTCCCAGGGGCCCCGTGCTCAAGGACATCTTGCCTGGCAAGCCACAGCTCTGAGGATCCAACTCCAGTGGGCTGTGACTTCTGAAAGACTTCTAAGCCTGTTTTAGAATTGCAGGTAATACTTTCTCTCTCCCAAGCGTCCACAGAGCCCAGATGAGCCTGTAATGGCAGCCTTGAGTTCCTGACAGTCCCCTCATCCTTCCAAGACCCTTCTTGGAAGCAATGGGGCCTTGGCCAAAAGCAAAGGGCAGATGCCTCCACAGCAGGAGAAGGTTTTGGGCCAAGGTTTTGGGTGCTGGAGGCTCAGGGTTGAGCTTGGGGGGCAGTGTGAGTGGTCTGTTTGCTCCTGGGGAGCTGATAACATGGAGCCAACCTCAGCACAGAAGTCGCCTAAGAAGGCGGGCAGTGGGGAGAGTCTTGGACACTGGGAGCTGGGTGGGTGGGGCCACAAGCAACTGCTCCCATGAGGAAACCCTGTCCTAGGATACAGGCAGTGTCAGAACATTCCAGAAATTCCTGTGTAGAACCCAGTTATCTCTCATGGGGGAGAGGCTGTCTTGGCAGGGGTTCCTGTCTCCTCATATAGGTGGGGAAATGGAGCCCAGAACTTCTGATGCCAAGCCCAGGAGCTGGGTCCCCCAAATTTTCTCAGGCCCCAGGAGCTCTGCTGGAGGGGTTACTCACAGGCTGGTCTGTGATGATGGGGTGTGAGGGGTGCCCAAAGCCGTGTTCTTGCTCCTGAAGCCGTGTGGCCAAATCCTGCTTCTCTCGGCCCCAGCGTCGAGCTGAGTCCTCTAACTGCAGACACAAAGAGGGAGAAACCTCAGGGGTAGCAGGAGGACAGCAGGAGACCATATAGTCAGACAGTCTAAGACACAGATACACTTCTGCATTCCAACAGCATACTGATCCTAAATCCATACTGGTCCTTGGTTCTGGTCACAGACTGAGTCTGACCTGGTCACATAGTGAACCCTGATCCTGGCCACACTAAGCCCAGATCCTGGTCAATTACTAAGCCCTAGTCCTGGTCATAGAACTGAGTCTTGACCCTACTTGTATCCTGAGCCTCAACCTTGGTCATAGGCTGGGCTGCAAGCCCGGCCCCGCCTGAATGACCCCTGTACTCGGCCCACCTGGTTTTCCAGAGACAGAATCCGGCTGTGAGCTCGTTCCAGCTTGGCTAGGAGGTTAAACTTGTCTGAAGAACTGCCAAGGAAATCCTGTGGACAAAGTAGAAATTAATGTATGGCCCCAGCTGGGGGCAGTGGCCATGTGAGGTACCCAAGAAGAGAAAGCAGACAAGTCTAAGTTCCAAACTTAGCTCCCCATGCAGAGCCTCAGACCTGGGCTTGCCATGAGCTTTTTTCACAGCCGTTTCCCCCACGGATTTTGGGCATCTGAAGTTTTCACACATCAACTTTTGAAAAATACGAAATGCGTCAAGGAACTTCCTTTAATGAACACAAGGGGACTGAGCCGGGGGTCATTTTGCAGAGTGAAGAATCTGTGACACAAGGGTGCCTGACCCCCATGTTCTACCTGCAGTCCAGGCAACAGATGCTTCCAAACAGAACTCACCTCCTGCAAGTCCTGGGGTAAAGAGAAACACTCTCCTGTGTCCCCTTGTCCCTGCTATAATTCCAAACATTCCAAACATTCTCTCTTCGGGTTTGTGTGCAGCCTCTGGGGCCTCTGGAGTGGCCTGGGAAGTGGAGGGGGCCTGCATGTCTCTGGGCCCCAGGACACCCACCTGTGCGAGAAGGGTTTTTTCCATGCACTCGGTGTGGCCTGGGCCATCTGTTTCTCGCAGCCTCTCTGCCACATCTCCACCTGCTCCCAACTCCCCGGGGTCCACCTGGGATGGGGAAAAGGGCTCTCCAAGGTTGCACCAATCCCAGGAGGTGTTCTAGAACAGAGTTCTGGAAGACCTGGGTGAGGTCTGTATGGAAGTAAGCCAGCTGAGTGGGAAAAAGAGTCAGAGTTCAGGGGTCAACAGTTAGTCAGGGGCTTGCTCCCCCAGGATGCTAGAGGGCATAAAGGGGAAACTTTCAGATACATGCAACTCCAGGAGAAAAAAGAGCAAGCCTTCTGAGTTCATGTTCCAGGAGACACAGGGAGCACTGCAGCCCCAGTAAACCTGGAAGCCTAGCTCCTGGCCTGGTTCAACTTGGATCGGGCTGTGGGTGATTTCTAGGCACCTGGTGCAGACAGGCCTGGGTCAAGCTTGTGGTGGTGGCTCTTACCGGCAGGGCCTGCTGCTGCAGAATGATGGGGGCTGACTGGTGGCGGTTCTTGTCTAGCTCAGCCCTCAGCCTTGAGTTTTCTGCCAGCAGCATGGAGTAAAGGTCAACAGCTTGGTTCTCTCCTGTGGAACCCAGGTGAGGGCCAGAGGCTGAGAGCACAGGAAAGGCTGTGAACATGGCCATAGATGTTCATAGGGTGGGCTTTCTTGTATCCACGTCCCTGCCCTGGTCTGCCCCATCATTGCTCCTTTCTGCTCCTCTCTGCTCCTCTCTGCTCCCGAGCCATCACTGGCTCTCTGTTTCTAGCAGAATCAGGGCTCCACTCTGCAGGTTGTCCTCGTAGGCTGTTTATAATCTGATTCCACTGTTTCTCCTACATTCCCCTTCCATTGTCCTGGGTATAATCCAGCTCTTCTTATATAAGAGTCCCCCACCACTCTTATATCCTTACTCCTTGGGCTTTTGCCCCAGCGGTTGCCCTCCTTAAACCCAGACTGTGAATGACCTAAGGGTCCCACTGAGAGGTGGGCCAAGCTTTCACTATTTTAGATTCCCCTCTTCCCTCGGCAGTGAAGGCTGAGCACAGGGCTGTAAAGTCCTGGGATGACTTTACAGGCAGCTCAGGGAATCCCTTGCTTTGGGGCTGGCCTGAAATGGTGTCACCTGAGTCTTTCCTGCTCATGAGAGCCACCTCTGATTGGCAGTTATAGGTGGCTTTGGTTGAATGGTTGATACCAAATGGGGAGAACAAATCACTGATTTCATCAAAGGCGTCTCTGAAGACCTGGGGAGCTGAGGAAATAACCCACAAGGCCTTGGAATTGAGCTGGGAGCTGCTGCCCCAGGTGGCCCTCTTCTGGGAAAGCTGCACTCGACTTGCCCTAGTCTGCAGGGCCTCTCCCCTGGGGGCCTGACCCCTTTCTAGCCTGGCTCACACAGTGTAGTCCTGTGTCCCAAGGGGTTTCCTGGCACAAGGAAGAAGATCAGTGTGCTGTGGAAGTGCTCAGAGCCTGAGTTGGGGGAGCAGTACTGCCCTGGTGTCACTGGGCCCCACAGATGTAACTGCACACAGGCCCCTTTTTTGGGATTCTCCTGAAGCTGGAAGCTCCAGAAGGCAGGGCCTGCAGGGCAGGGCAAGGCAAAGGCTGGGGTATCCACCACTCACATCCACCTTGGGGAGCAGACCCACCCATGTGGATCTTCCCTGTTGGCCTGTTCGGTGGAGGGTGCTCGTTTCTCTCCCGTAGCCTGTCCTCCAGCACCTGCTCCATCTTCTCGATCACCTAGCAGCAGAGCACCGAGGCTGGGCTAGTTTGGGGGCTCTACCCTTGCCTGTCCACAGGCCCCCAGCCAGTGGCCCCCAGCACCTGCCTTCTCCTGGTGCCGTACAGTCTCCTCCAGTGCCTTCATCTTCTGCAGTTTGTCCTGGTACTGCTTTAGCAACACAGCCTGTGGCTGCTGAGCCTGGTACAGGAGGAGCAGCTCTTTCTCTCGGTCATTCTTCTGTGGAGGTGGGGATGGGGTGAGTGGGTGCCTAGGAGTTTTCCTTGGCCATGCGGGTCCATGCTGCCCTCTGCTGAATGCTCTGCTGGCTGCCCCCTCCCACTTGCTCTTCTCTCCAGACATGTCTTCCCATCCTTATCCCACCCACCTGGCTCCCTGCCGCCCGCCCCCCCAGGCCCCACTCACCCGAATCAGTTCATTCTGCAGATATTGCACCTTGTCCTTCAGTTTCTTTGTGTCTAGCTCACTTAGCAGCAGTTTCTGCTTCATGGACACTGCTAGGATGAGTGGGGAGGCTCAGGGAGGTGGCTTTTCTCAGCTCTCACGTGCAGTGGGGGTGCACCCTGGGGCTTGAGACAAGACTGGATACTCCATTTCTTGTCCCTCAGAGGACCTAGCTGGGCAGGGACTGTGTGTTTGTGGGGTGCTCCCACTAGCCTCAGTCCAGCTGCATGCACATCTGGAGAAGGCTCCCCACCACCCTGTCTCCAACGAAGAGCCTGGGCCCAGGCTGGTGTCTGGAGGCTCTTGGCAGCCTGTGCATCCTCACCCAGGTTCTGGACCTCATCAGCTTGGGTCTTCTCCTCTTCTGCCTCCTGCTGGGTCAGGTGACCCCTTAGCATGCGGTTCTCCTCATCCAGGATGCTGACCTGTTTCCGCAGCGACAGGATGTCCTCGGCCATCTTCTGCATAGCCCGCCGGTAGTTGCTCATCTCCTGTGATGCCAGAGCCCAGAGCTGAGCCCGTGCCCCTCAGGAGCCTGTCCCCCATTTTCACCCACACTTAGGGGTCAGTGGGTCACTCCCAGGCCTATGGGCGCATAGGCTCCAGCTGTGCCCCAAGCCTTAGCAACTCCCTGGAGAGGTGGTTAGCCCCTGGTCACCATCCCTCCTGGCCACACTAGGTCAGTTACACCAATATTTCTGCTGTCCCAGGCCACGTCTATTCCTATAACAGCAACTCAGGGGAACCCAGGGCTTAGATACTAGGCGAGGAGGCCTAAGGGCAACAGACTGGAAAGGACCGGGATTAGATTTCCATGGTCTGGGTAGATCACAACACTTCCTTTCCTTTTCCCTCCTTCTTTCCCCTAACCCCGATCCCTCTCCTGCATGTTGCTGAACTGAGAAAGAACTTCTAGCCATCCCACTGAATACCAGTTAGGAGCCAACCTGGCACCAGCCCCCCAACCAGCCCAGAAGTCAGGAAGGGACCCAACGTAGGTCCAGGAGAGTCAGATAAAAGACTCAGGGTCAAGGTCAGGATCCAACTATAAGACATGGGGTGTGAGGGGGGTCAGGAAGCAGACTCAAGTCATTAGGTCAGGAAGAGCAATAATTCCACCATCTGGTGTTCACTGAGCTCTTCCTATGTCCCAGGCCTGCTTCTGAGAGTTCTATGTGCCCTTACTTGGTCTTCGCCAGCCTAGGAGGGTGGGTACTGTTGTCAGCCTGTTTTACAGATGAGGAAACCAAGGCTCAGAGAGGCAAGTGACCTGCTTCAGTGGCAAAATTAATGGGTGGCAGAAATCTGAGCCTTCATTTTTTTTTTTCTTTCAGCAGTATTGGGGTTTGAACTCAGGGCCTCACGCTTGCCAGGTAAGTGCTCTACCACTTGAGCCACACCACCAGCCCCTGCCCACCCCCCTCTTTTAAAAATTTTTCTGGTAGGGTCTCTGGCTTTTGCCCAGGGTTACCCTCAGACCATGACCCTCCTACTTATAACTCCTGTATAGGAATGACAGGTGGACACCACCACACCCAGCTCATTGGCTGAGATGAGGTCTCCTTAACTTTTTGTCTTGGCTGGTCTCACAATTCTCCTGAACTCCATTTCCTGAGTAGCTGGGATTACAGGTGTGAGCCACTGCACCTGGCCTGAGTCTGTTCTTAAGTGCTGTGTGATCCTGCCATTATGTGCACTCCCCTCCACATGTGGACACTTCACAATATACAGAGATTTTTTTTTCTTTTATTATTCATATGTGCATACAAGGCTTGGGTCATTTCTCCCCCCTGCCCCCACCCCCTCCCTTACCATCCACTCCACCCCCTCCTTTTCCCCCCCACCCCCTCAATACCCAGCAGAAACTATTTTGCCCTTATCTCTAATTTTGTTGAAGAGAGAGTATAAGCAATAATAGGAAGGAACAAGGGTTTTTGCTGGTTGAGATAAGGATAGCTATACAGGGAGTTGATTCACATTAATTTCCTGTGCGTGTGTGTTACCTTCTAGGTTAATTCTTTTTGATCTAACCTTTTCTTGTTCCTGGTCCCCTTTTCCTATTGGCCTCAGTTGCTTTTAAGGTATCTGCTTTAGTTTCTCTGCGTTAAGGGCAACAAATACTAGCTAGTTTTTTAGGTGTCTTACCTATCCTCACCCCTCCCTTGTGTGCTCTCGCTTTTATCATGAGCTCAAAGTCCAATCCCCTTGTTGTGTTTGCCCTTGATCTAATGTCCACATATGAGGGAGAACATACGATTTTTGGTCTTTTGGGCCAGGCTAACCTCACTCAGAATGATGTTCTCCAATTCCATCCATTTACCAGTGAATGATAACATTTCGTTCTTCTTCATGACTGCATAAAATTCCATTGTGTATAGATACCATATTTTCTTAATCCATTCGTCAGCAGTGAGACATCTTGGCTGTTTCCATAACTTGGCTATTGTGAATAGTGCCACAATAAACATGGATGTGCAGGTGCCTCTGGAGTAACAGTCCTTTGGGTATATCCCCAAGAGTGGTATTGCTGGATCAAATGGTGGATCTGTGTCTAGCTTTTTAAGTAGCCTCCAAATTTCTTTCCAGAGTGGTTGTACTAGTCTACATTCCCACCAACAGTGTAAGAGGGTTCCTTTTTCCCCGCATCCTCGCCAACACCTGTTGTTGGTGGTGTTGCTGATGATGGCTATTCTAACAGGGGTGAGGTGGAATCTTAGTGTGGTTTTAATTTGCATTTCCTTTATGGCTAGAGATGGTGAGCATTTTTTCATGTGTTTTCTGGCCATTCGAATTTCTTCTTTTGAGAAAGTTCTGTTTAGTTCACTTGCCCATTTCTTTATTGGTTCATTAGTTTGGGGAGAATTTAGTTTTTTAAGTTCCCTATATATTCTGGTTATCAGTCCTTTGTCTGATGTATAGTTGGCAAATATTTTCTCCCACTCTGTGGGTGTTCAGTTTAGAGACCATTTCTTTTGATGAACAGAAGCTTTTTAGCTTTATGAGGTCCCATTTATCTATGCTAGCTCTTAGTTGCTGTGCTGCTGGGGTTTCGTGGAGAAAGTTCTTACCTATACCTATTGCTTCCAGAGTATTTCCTACTCTTTCCAATATACAGAGATTTTAAGAATTATCAGTATGATCTCATCTTGGAAAAACAATTTAGGTCTGTCTATTTATGCATGGAACAATTATTAAGCTATGTTTATGTTTGTTTTATAATCAGAAATTTCCTACTGTTATATTTATAAAAAGTTTCATGAACAGAGATTTTTAAGGCTAGTCAGCACAAAATAAGAAAGAGGGATCCAACACAGGAAGCCAGAGATGTCCTGACAGAGGAGGCAGCAGCACTGGGCTGGGGAGGTGAATAGGAGCAGGCAAGGATTTTGCTTGGTAGTTGCGGAGCCCTGTGGCCTGTGGACTTCTGGGGCTGTGGGAGTCCTTGCTGGTGGGGGTGTGGCCCCAGTCCAGCCAGGCTCCCAAACCACCAGAAGCAGAACTCCTCTGGACCCCATGCTGCTTTGTGGTCCAGCCACTTCCCAGCTATTGCTTCCCACCTGTTGCTTGGTGGGTCACTGGCTTCTTGGGGAGGAGCCTCCAGACAACAGGGGCTCATTAGACACCGCTTGTCACCTGCCACTGCTTAGCCTTCTGGCTGGACTTCCTCTCACTGGTGCCAGTGTTGGATCTATTTCCCTAGCACCTGCTCTGGTTGAGTTCCAGGTGGTAACTTTCCCAGATCTGCCCATCCAGTGTCCTCAGACAGCATGCTGACTGGGACCCTCAGTCCAGGCACTATCATGGGCCTTGTGGTCAAGTTCAGATCAGAAGCCCATCTGTGCCAGTGACAGGCTGAGGTGAGCTTGGAACTTCCTGAGCTTCAGAATCCTTAGATGGACATGCCTGGAGTTTTGCATGGAGCTCACAGTCTGTGTGAGAAGTTAGGCTCCCACCTAGGTAGGTCTAGATTTATTATTTTTTTGCAGTACTGGGGTTTGAACTCAGGGCCTCACTCTTGCTAGCCAGGTGCTCTACCTCTTTAGCCAGTCTGCTAGTCCAGGTAGGTCTAGCTTAAAGGCACCATTCTCAACTCCTCCCATTGTTGTCTGTCCTAATGGCAGCTTTAGTCAATAGGAAGACCCCTTCTTCTTCCTTCCTTTTGCACTAGGTTCCCTGGCTCCTCTGCTGTGCCCACAACTGATAGTGGTAAGACTGGCTGGAGGGGGTTATATTTCAGCAATGGAGATTCACCCCCTCCCATCCTTCCCCTGCCTGGTTCAGCCTCTTATCATGTCTGCTCTGGATGATTACAGTAGCATCCAAATGGGTTTTTTGGCTTCTGCCTTATCTACTACATCTCTTACACACACACACACACACACACACACACACACTCACAGAGAGAGAGAGAGAGAGAACATGTTCAGTGATGCTCAGTACTGTATACCTTATAGTCTTATGCCACAGTCTGCTCAGTGCCTGGTCTATAGGCAGTAGTTACAACGAATAGATGAGACTAATTGTCCTGACACAGAGAAATGGCCACGCTCTACTGTGACATGAAGACAGCATGGGGGAAATCATGTGATCTCATCCATAACTGGAGTGAGTGTGTGCACATGGAGGGAAGGTCCTGGGGAAGGAGCTGCCAGTCCCTTGGCCCATCCGATAGGTCTGGTCACCCCCTCTTCTCATTCACCCTTTCTAAGATCCCAGTGTTGTCTGACTCCGTAGTCCTGGAGAGGGGTGAGCAGAGCTCTGTTATGAACACCTCACTTGATGGATGAAGAAAACAGACCCAGAGTAAGGAAGACAGTGACAGAGGGAGTTTGGCTTCTGGTGAGTTGGGTGCTCCTATGCCCAGCCACATGGTCCCTTTGTGGGAAGGGTGACAGGTTCTGTGGGCCTCTACCTCTTGAAGACTTGCCCTGTCTTCCTCCAGCTCCTATCCCAGCCCCAGCCTGGCTGCTCTGAGTGAGGCCTCAGCAGGGGGTTTGAGTTGGGCCTTGACCCGGGTTCCAACCCTGGTTAGTACTCTGTTCGTGGGAACCTGGAAGCCTGCCTTCCCTCCTTTAGTTCCCCACCTGCACTGCTGAGTGGTGACCTTGGCAGCACAGCTGGATTGGGAGGCCTCAGCTTAAAAGCAGGCAGCCCTGACCTCTCCCCACAGACTGGAGCTGGGCTCCCTTCAGGGCCATGCTCTGCGTCACAGCCCAGCCTTGGGAATGCACAGGACACCATGCCCCAGATTCATCTTGTGGTCCCTCTGCCTCTGCGGCCTGCTCCCCAGTTGGGGGAGGGCAGGCTTCTCTCTGGGCTGGTACGTCCATCCTCTGGTGGCACCGACCTCAACACTGTTGTGCCTGACCCTAAGGGCACCCTCCTCGCCCACTGAAACCCCACTACCAGGACCCTGACCTTCAGAGCTTGCTCAGGGGAGAAATGTCAGGAGTTTGAGTTGTCACCCTGCCACTGACCGATGGTGGCCTTT